ATTTCAGCCATTTCAACTACTTCTTTTAAGCTATCTTAGGCTAGTTTCAGCTTTTTCGGCTGTTTAGCAAAAACCCTTCAGCTTTAGYCGTKCACATTATRTTTTTGCAGGAAATGCAAATTCTCCAATGGGGTTAAAAAATGTCAAATAGACTTTTCAAAGGCTGTACTGAACATTTTTTTTCAAGCTTTTTATTGATAAAGATTTTTTATGTTTTAATCTTTGTTCGTTTTCACCCACAGTGCAGTGTCTGGGTCTGAAGCCCCTAGGAGAGGACACAGGGACGGCCCACGTCTTATCACATTTTATCATCCAAAGTATGCTGTGATTTATTTTTTTTCTTTTTAACCCATTCATCAAACTCGATGTTAATGGAATCTTTTAATTGTTCTAATAACCAACGTGACTCGATGCTTGACTCCTTTCTTAGGAGAGGATAAAAATATCCCGCCGCTTCTTTTCCCCTGTGGTTCGATTAAAAGAGAAGTCTTGCCCACGGCTTTGAGGGAACACGGTGAGCGCTCTCCTCCTTTCTGCCGCTCGCATTTAAAGCTCAGGTCCATGAAACGCCCGTCGGGGTTCAGCTAATTAACAAAAATAGTAATTGCATTACCTTTTGCCACTGTGGGGGGTCTGTTTCTTTGTTTCCAGGAGTTCCTCTGGAGACGCTGACTGTCTATCAAACCGCTAAACATCCTGAACTTGAAGAAAATCTGAAGGATTATTTCACAGAACAGGTGAAACTTTTATCTCCTTTTTGTGTTTTATTTAAAAACACTTTTTATAACGGAAAATGTTCAGCACTGTTTTATAATATTTATCTACGTATTTCCAGGGCACTCCAGCGAGCGTCGGCTTCTTCAGCCCATCAGGGGTGAAGTTCTGCCTGGACGAGGTTCGGAGGCTGGCAGGTGATCAGCTGACTCACATAAAGGTGGGGTTTATATGAAGTCATACACCAAAAAAATAAATACAGCGGGTAAAATAAGTATTGAACCCGTCAACATTTTTCTCAGTAAATATATTACTAGAGGTGCTAATGACGTGAAATTTTCACCAGATGTCGGTAACAACCCAAGTGATCCATACATACAAAGAAATCAAACCATAAATGTCCAGAAATGAGGTTATTTGTAATAATG